AGTCCACATAGCTGGGATTGGGGCCGAGCTCTCAGGCCCCTCCACTGGCTTCCAGTTCCATGCCGGCACTCTCGGAGCACCTGGTTGAAGTCTGGTCCCTCTTTCCCTGTGGAAACATAAACAATACCCTCCCCTTGGATGGGTTAGTGCCCTGTTCCCCTGCTACACATTTCTATCTTTTTTTTCCCTTTTCTTCCCCGCCCCCACCTTTTTAGTTGCCTACCATATGTACCCTTGGATTTGATCCAGCCCCTGCCATACAACCTGGACAAGTGAAGGGAGGCTGGATGACACCCAAAAGGCGGGCATCTCTGTTGAGCTGAAGCAGGAAAGGGAGTTGGACTCAGAAACATGGGACTGAATCCTGTCTCAAGTTCTCCATTCTTCTGAGCCTCCATTTCTTCAACTGTAAATCTGAGACTGGCATCTCCATGTGGTGTGAACAGTGAACATGCTAGCTGCTAAGGCTAGAGGCTCAGAAGCAAGGTCTGGTAATCTCCAAAAAACAAAACAGCTATTGGAAAGTCTATAGAGCACACTTCTACTCTGACACACTTGAAGGAGACATTGACTCAACAACTGGTTTCAAGGTCAGAATAGGAGGTTGATCTCACGGAGTGGTTGAAACCAAACCAAACTCACTGCCATCGAGTAGGTGTTGACTCAGAGTGACCCTATGGGACAGGGCAGAACTGCCTCTGGGGGTTTCAGAGACTGTTTCGGAGACTTCATGGGAGTAGAAAGCCTCATCTTTATCCCATGGAGCAGCTGGTGGTTTCAAACTGCTGGCCCTGCAGTTAGCAGCCTAATGTATAACCAGTATGCCACCAGGGCTTCCCAGTGTGGTCGAAAACATTGACTAATAAACTACCTGAAAGCTTCCGGTACTTGTCTCCATTAGCTGAGAAGCTCCAAGGGGTCAGAACTTTGGCTTATTCTCTGGTCAAACCTCAAAGTCTGGTTCAAATATTTGTCGAACAAATGAAGATATTATCAATGAATGTGTTAGTCTAGATTGACTAGAGAAACAAATCCAGAGACACTCATATATATATAAGAAAGAGCTTTATATCAAAGAGTAATTATATATTAAGAAGACATCCCAGACAAGCCCAGATCAAGTCCATAAGTCTGATACTAGCCCATGAATTTCTCTTCAGACTCATGCAGCACATGCAATGATGTCAAATGCAGGAAGATCACAGGCCAGGGTGTGAAAAGTCTGGTGGAAGCATCTCAATGCTAGTGTGGGTCTTCGTCAGCTCCAGGGCGCTGGCTGCCATCAGTGTGCTCCATGTGGATTGTCCACAGAGATTGTCACTCTTTATGGGTATAGAAAGCCCCATCCTTCTCCCAAGGAGTGGCTGGTGGTTTCAAACTGTTGACCTTGTGGATTGAAGCCCAGGGTGCAACCACGATGCCACCAAGACATAGGCTTTTCCTATAAGAAAAGCCACAGGTCAGAGGAAATGGGGTGGTAGCATCTTCTCCGTCTCACAAAATACAGAAGGTTCAGTGAACCCCAGAGATGTACTGTACTGCTGTCCTTGTAGTTAGGCAGCTGGAGAGCTCAGAGGATAACCTGAGAGCAGATGCTATTGAAGGGCTCCAGCAGCAGCCAAGATGGGCCCTGGTTTCCAGGGAGTGTCCATGATGCAAAACATGCTGTAAGTGATAAAGTCCAGTCGGGTGTCACAACAAAACTTTAGCCTAGATTTGAATCCCAGAACTGCTATCTATTAGTAAATTATGTAATCCAACAGACCTTTAAAAATCTTTGTATTGTGATAAGGAGACCCTAACATGTACTAGGCTAAGTAAAAAAGTGGGGTCACTAGGGGTTCCATTTCATACATGGTCACATGTCTCTGTGGTCAGTGGATGGCTGCAGACACGTTCTCTCAGGAATACACTTGTCTTAGACTCATTAGAGTGTCTGCAAATATATACATATATACACATACCCATTAAAAACAGTGGCTACCAGAGATATCTGCTGGGCCAGTTAAATTCAAGTGCAGCTCAGAAAGTTATGTTGACTGTTTTTGGGGACTCCAAAGGATAATCTCAAGAGATGTTTTTGTGGGGGACATAGGACATAATCACAGCGACTTTTTAGGAAAACGGAACTCGCATTGGTGAGAAAAAGGCCAGGAACGTTGCTCCAAGAGATGTTGTTTCCATCAAGACAAAGTACCTGCTTGTCTTGTCCTTCAAAGCCTGTCCTGTGAGAATTTCATTGGGAAATCTTACCCCTGCCCCCAATCCTCCACCCCCCAATCCACTTTCACATGCTGTAAATCAAAGAGCATTTGATGAACCAGGAACAGTTAGGTGCCAGTTCTCATGTCTGAAGGATTTGGGAAGAAATCCTCTGGTGATTCCTCTTGTTAAGGAAAGGCTAGCCCCCCAATGCACCAATTTTGTCAACCCATAGTTGGGCTAGTTACCCTGGATTAATCAACAAACAAACAAACCGTAACAACACAAAAGGTCAACGCCATGGAGTCGCTTCGGATTCATAGCGACTCTATATAGGGTTCTGAAGCTGTGCATCGTTACAGCAGCAGACAGGTTCAACTTCGTCTCGTGTCCTGGTGGGTTCGCTGCCTCCCGCAGCGTAAACCGAGGAGCCCTGGTGGCGCAGTGGTTAAGCATTGCGCTGCTGCGATTCCCAAGGTCAGTTCTTGGAAACTACCAGTTTCCCCGCGGGAGAAAGTCCGGGCGTTCAGTGTCAGTCTCGGAAACTGGCGGGGGCGGTTCTCACCTGTCCTGTCCGGGCGCTCTGGGTCGGCAATAGTGGATTTAGTTTTTTGGTTTCGTAGCGTAGACTTGTTATCTCTTGGACGCACAGTAGGGGACGTCCTAGGACTGATTTTATGATTTCATCTTTTGCCAAGCGGTCAGGGTAGGAGTGGTTGCCGAGGGGAGTGGGTGTGCCCAAGAAGTCATGGCAAAAGTAAAACATGGGGGAAAGAGAGAAAAACAGGAGCGACGTCAAGTTTTAAAACTCCAAGATCCACCGAAAAGAATGAGAGAGGAGGAGTCAGAAAATCCGATTTCCAGCATCGTGGCAGCAGCGTCCTTCGTGTCCCCACCTGCCCACCTAGTTCAAGACTTCCCCAATCCCGCGGGGTGGCAATTGGTTGCACAGAATTTTTTTTTTTTTTCCCTTTTTCTCCTCCCCCTCTCCTTTTCACTTCCACATTTCCCGAATGCCGGAGTCCGTGCTGGTGGCGTAGGCAGCGCAGCCTCCGGGAGCTGGGCTATCAGTTTACACCCGGCCCTCGGTAAATAATCCGTCTGAGAGCCACCCGGTGGCTCGCCCTCTACGCGCCCCGCTCCCGGACTCCTCTCCTTTGCAGCCTGAGCCTGCGCACCAGCCTTCGGAATCTTGGTTTGCAACGTGCTGCCTGCCAATGAACAGCCATGCTCCGGGTGATTGTAGAATCGGCCACTAATGTCCCCAAAACGAAATTTGGGAAACCGGATCCCATTGTTTCTGTTATTTTTAAGGGTAAGGAAACGTTTTTCTTTTGCTTGGGGGAGGTGACAATGTTGGGGCCAAGCAGTCTCTGGTTTGAGTTTGTTACCTGTACAGGTGAGGGGAGAGGACCGATTTAAGATTTCTGAGGAGAGCATTGTATTTCCTCCAGGTTTTGAGACTCTTTGAGTGGCCTGATCTCTTTTTTTAGTTGAAATAACGTGGTTTCTGAAATCTTTTGGGGGTGGGGTTGTTAACGCCCCCCCCTCCCCAAAAAAACCAAACCAAATAACCTAAAGGTATTTTTTAAAAAAGGACTGTGTTAGTTCAAAGTAAAAGTTGAGGCAGTTTTACATGCATTGGGGCTTTTTCTGATTGTGGTGAATGAGTAGAGGAGGAGGAAAAGAGGAATTCCATGCCCAGGTTTTGCTCCAGCGAACAGTGGTTTCTACTGTCCCTGGCCGGCTGGCACTGGACGGGGTGGCCACGTTATAACTGTAGATTCGTTTGTTTCATGCCTCTTTGTAATTGTTCTGCATCCATAGGGAGATGAGGTGCTTGTTGTAAATGGCGTAGCTTTTACATGGCTCATGGAGGAAAAGGGACAATGACAGGATTTAGCTCAATTTCACAGAATGTCCTTGGACTGGTGGCCTAATTTCTCTCGAGTTCAGTTTTCCAATCTGTAAAATGGATGTGGAGGGTTTAGACTAGATCCTCTTATAGTGGTTCTTCTTAATTACAAAAAGGTGATTCCACCCCCCCCCCACCCATAACATTGCATTACGCACCCAGTGATTAGTGTGGGAGCTGGCTTGCTTCCAGCCACTGAAAGATACTTTAATTTGGCTCGAGTGCTGTAGATGAACCTGCTTTGGGGGGCTTTCTCATTTTCTCTTTGTTCATGGTCATTCTAAGATCGTCAGATCCTTTTTTGGTTGGAAATGTGACAGAAGGAGGGGCTGGCAGGGAGATGGACCCCAGGGTGTGGACCACACCCAAGCACCGCCTCTGTTCCTCTGAAACGCCGTGACTTCAGCCTCCTCATTTCTGGGAAGTCTACTCCCTTCTCTTATCTCTTGTCTGTTTGCCACCTTGTTTCACTTCTTCAACCTGTTCCAAGCAGAAAAAGTAAGAAAATGAAGGAAATGAAATCCACAACCTCCAAATAGTTGCCTAGTTTTTAAAAATCAGTCTCAGAGGGCAAAAGTTGGAATCCTTAAGAATGCTATGGTTTGAGAATTGGATGAGTTGGTGTTAAAAGTTTTCATGTAATGCTGGTGTTCCTTTATAAGTTCTTAGGTTTTTGGCTTTTCCACAATATTTTATTTTTTAACCTAGCATGGAAAGTTTCTATCCTTCATCATTGACTTGGGAAAAGCTATTGAAAAATATTGGATTCAACCCATTGGTGTTATCACTGAAGCAAATTCTACAGCTTGCCAAGGAGCTAGAGTTAACGTTATATTGAACTCTGACTTGTCTAGATGTGGATACATTGGGCCCAAACTGTGAGTGACTAAAATGAACTTGGGCACTGAACCAGAAGGAGAAAGCTTTAGTTACATGATAAAAAGAGTCTATATATGTGATCGGATTATCGAGATTACTAATTGAGTGATAGAGTCATTCATTCGTGCATCCATCTAACAAGCAACACGACAGAAGAAAACACACTGAACTCACTGTAGAAAGAACTGGATTCTTGAGGACTTTGAATACCTGCTGACCTTAGCTATCCTAGATTTAACCCCCTCAGATGTCTTAGCAGTGAGATGTTGAAAACTGATCTCCTTGAGGTTCCTTTTGGTCTTAAGGTTCTATAATTTCACAAGGCCTTAGGTCGCAGGAGGGAATATACCAACAAAAGCCCCTCCCCCCTCCAAGTTCAGTCTATCTCAGTGAGGTCAATCTACTCCTTGATTTCTAGTATTGGTGCTAGCCTGGCAGGACTAGGGATACCTATCCTATGACCATGCCCGTTAGGAGGCCCTGGGAGGTGCAAATGGTTAACTGATCCAAGTCCACCCAGAGGCAGCTGAGAAGAAAGCTTTGGTGTTTCGTGAAAAATCAGCCAAGGAAAACCCGACGGGACACATGCTCTTCTGAATCGGAGTCGCCTCCTTGGCATCTGGTTTGACTGTCCATCAGAGCAAGCTTGAGCCATGTTGGGGCTCTCCTGCTGAAGTAGCGTGGACAGTGTGGGGAGTAAGATATAAAGAGCCCGGGCGTGAGGTCAAGGCAGTGCCCTGTGCTTACTGACATGTGTATATAAGACAGCAGGGTCAGGGCAACCCGAGGCTCTGCTGAGACTGCAAGGTGGTGAGAAGAACCGCCAAGTGAAGGGTGTGTTCATGGTGACGCTGGCACAGCTGCCATGAGACAACAACATAGCTTAGAGGGGCCTTTGTCACAATTCTCAGGCTGAACCACTCAGGGCCTCGTGTGAGCCATGGGGTGTTAGGGAATGACTGCCACTGATATCTAGCAACGCAGGGGTTGATTTTGAAAGCCACGGAACTTTTTTATTTTTTCATGCCCTGTTGGTGTAGTGGGTTATGCATTGAGCTGCTCACTGCAAGATCAGCTGTTTGAAACCACCAGCCGCACTGAGGGAGAGAGGTGGGTCTTTCTACGCCCGTAAAGAGTTACAGCCTGGGAAACCCATAGGGGCCAGCGCTGTCCTGTCCTATAGGGCTACTGTGAGTTGGAATTGACTCAATGGTAGTGAATTTTGAGTTTGAGGGTGCATCACGGGCTCTGGTGTAGTAGAGGGTTAGGCATCCGGCTGTTAACCACAGGTGGATGGCAGTTCAAACCCAGCAGCCACTCTGCAGGAGAAAGCTGAAGTTTTCTGTTCCGGTAGAGATTGAGAAACCCTAGGCAGCAGTTCTACTCTTCCTGATAGGGTCACTAAGGGTCAGAATGGACTTGACAGTGGTGGGTCTGGGGATTCTAGGTTCACTGGGTCCCTGTAATGCCTTGAGTTAGAGTTGGCCGTTCTTTCAGGATTCCTTATGGATAGCCAGCCTGTGAACTGGCTCTACCTGACAGTGAACTAGATGTGCCTCTTTGGCCTCTCCAAACCCAAAGGCTTGGTGCTGCTCCCCGAACAGAAGTTTCATTTTTATTTTAAAATTTTGAAAAATGTTTTTAAATTACTTTAAAAATTTTATGGAAGTAATACATGTAAAAAACAAACTGACCAACAACCCAGAAAGGACTACACAATCAGCAAGTGAACATTCTCACAGCACACACACACACCGACTTTGCCCCTCCTGCCACTCCTCTTACCTAAGGGCAAGCACTGGTCATACTTTGATTTGAATCCTTCCAGAATTTTTACTATAGGCATGGAAGTCATTCCAGCTTCTTTCTGTTGACAACAGTGCTGTGAAGGATGGTGAATGTGTGTATTTCTGAAGGATGGATTCCCGTGTGTATGTGTGTGTGTGTGTGTGTGTGTGTGTGTGTGGTTTTCTTTCTCTTAAAGGTGGTTTTGCTAGACATTGCCTCGGACTTCCATTTTCCCTCTGACTCGTCCCTTTCCTCTGTATCAAATCTCAGGAAAGGACGATTGAGAGGGAAAAGCCACGTGTATTTTTATATTGTTTCCCCGTTACCACGGATGGCACATCCAGTTCCTAGGGAATCCCAGGACGGCAGTTTCTCCCCTGTCCCTGTGATAGCGCCCGTTCCACCAGTCAGACTTCTCTCTCACCCTCCTACCATGTGCACATCTGTTCCTGGGTTCGGAATGGCCTCTGCCGCTGCCCAAATGACCACCAGATTGCCCTCCATGACTCAGTGTTTCCCCAGATGTCTGCTCTCTGACCCAAGCATGTCTTCGGAGGGCAACGCTAGGTATTCCTCGAACCCTCCTGCAGTTAATTCACGGCTTGGCTTTTAGTCTCAAGAGGCCATTTGACTTCTCTTGGAATGCTGTCTTCTGCTTATAAACGAGGCTGTAGTGGTTTGTCTGAGACCAGTCACTCTCCAGAAATCCCTGGAGGTTGTGATTCATGCAATAGACATTTGCCTGGTTTCTTTTCCCAAAACATGATATTACCACTGGAAATTTTACAATCTTTTTTTAAAAAACGGAGACATTAACATTAGGAACTGCCACACAGAGGGAGAAAATGGTGAGGTCCCATAAGAAAGGTGAGCAGTATGTTGAGAGAAAATTCTAGTGGGTCTCACTCCCTGCTCTTTGTGCAGGCACCTGGTGAGTAACCCAGGTTAGATCCCTCAGGGGGAGGGGTGGGGGCAGTATCAAGCCGGTGGCCTTTGAGTTAGCTCTGATCCTTGGTGACAAGAGTCGAACTGAATTTCATAGGGCTTTCCTGGGCCTTCCTTGTGGCAGCAGATTGCCAGGCCTTTCTTCATCTGCACAGCAGTCTGGGTTCTAGCCACCCGCCTTTTGGTGAGCAACTGAGTGCAGCTCGTCT